GGATGGTCCCTGTGACGTCTCGGGGTATGCGACACCGATCGCTGTGACACCGCAGACCGGCAGGAGCAGAAGGATCATCCCTGTGACACCCTGGACGGGCAGGACGGTCCCTGTGACACCCTGAACCGGTGGGAGCAGAGGGACCATCACGGTGATGCCTCAGAACGGAGGGACCACCCCTGTGATACCCCAGACCCGCTGGGTGATCCAGGATGATCGCTGTGACACCCGGGACCAGTGGGAGGAGCACATACATACATCTATCTATATAAATATATATAATATATATATTTAAATAGGATTATTTTTAAAAAAGCCCCCCGGGGACCGCGGGGAAGCTCCCTCCCCCCGCACATCCTCCTCCCCTCCCGGTACCGTGCTCCCCCCTCCTCACAAGGCTTCGTGATACACGTGTGCGAGGGGACAGTCCCCGCGGGACCCCTCGGGGCCGGGGCTGCCAGTCCGCTGCTCCCCGGGCCGTGGGGCGGGGGTCCGGTACCGCACCGGGGGGCACCCGGGGGGCCCCGCGATGCCGCAGGGGCTGCGGCGCATCCCGGGGGGCTCGGGCTCGCTGAAGGGTGTGGCGTACTCGGGCTCCGGGGGCAGCGGCTCCGCGTACTCGTGGTGCTTCCCCGGCACGTCGTAGTGGCTCAGGACCAGCGGCAGCGTGTAGCCCTCGTCCAGGAGCGGCTTGAAGGTGGAGGGACCCGTCTGGCTGCTGGGGCTCACCTGCACCAGATCTGGCTCGGCGTACTCTGAAACGGGGCTGCGCGGTCAGGGGGTGGGGCTGGGACGGGGGTGGCTTGAAAAAGTGGGCGTGTTTGGACCCCCGGGGCTGGGAAAAGCTGTGCCAAAACCAGGGGTAGGATGCCCGCCCCATGGACCCCACATCCCTCTGCCCCAGCACAGAGAAGGGCTCCTGGTGCCACCTGGCCACCCTCCAATACCCACGGCTGTGACAGAGATGGAATTTATTATTATTATTATTATTATTATTATTATTATTATTATTAAATATTAATATTATTATTACTACTACTACTACCATCTGCTATTATTGTTGTTATTAATATTATTATCATTGTTATTTATCATCCCTATTATTAATGTTGTTCTTATTATTTATTATTGTAGCTGTTATTTATTACCCATATCATTATTGCTGTTCTTATTATTTAGTAATAGTATAGTTATTGCTGTAATTATTATTATCATTGTTACCATTGTTATTATCCTTATTTATTATTTATTATTCTTTATTACTGTTTATTATTCTTTTACTATTATTATTGTTACTACTATTATAAAATAATAAGCCCCCAAAGGGTCTCCCTTTTGCATAGGACTGTGATGCAGGAGGGGTTGGACCAGAAGGGGAAGAGGAGAGGAATGGACACCCCAGAGTGTCCCCAGGGTGCAGTGGGGGAGACACGGTCCTGACTCTGGGCTGGGGGACCTGTTTGCCCCCCACTGTCCCTGTTACCTGGGGAGTGGGTCCGGCTGAGGTCTCCTGGTGCAGGTGCCGTGGGGAAGGAGGCCAGGCTGGGGGGCTGCAAGCTCTGCAGGGAGCACACCTGGCTTGACTCCAGCTTGGGGTACCCTGGGCAGGGAGCAGAAACCCCTGTTTGTCCCAGGCTGTCACCTGGACAGGTCCCCCCAGGAAGGGGATGGCTCTGGGCTCAGCAGCAGCACCAGTTAAACCAGCTGCACCCCATGGCCCACAGGACTCCTGGTTCTGGGGAGGGCTTGGGGACCCTTTACCTTTTGTGATCCCACAGTTCAGCTCTGCTGCTGATTTCCTGCCAAGGGGAGAAGCAAGATGGGGTGAGGGGTGCCAGGCACCCTGTGCCCACCATCACCCACCTCCTCACACCCACTGAGTGAGCAGCTGAATGAAGCTGCCACATTTTGGGAAGGTGATGCCGGGTAGAAGTGGGGGGCAGGATGGGACCCACCTTTTCCTATGGCAGAGGAAAGCCAGGAGCAGGAGGACGGAGCAGAGGAGCACGAAGCCACCAATGAGCAGCATCACCAGCAGCGTGGAGCCTGGGGAGGGAGGGCACATCAGCCCATCCCACCCCTCTGCACCCAGGGGTGCCAGGAGCCCATCCAGGGCCCCCAGAAGAGAAAATCAACGTGTTGTCACAGGGGGATGAAGCCCCAGTGGCACCGGGAGCACCACAAGACGATGCTGTGCCCCCCATGGCACCCACCTGCCTTCTCCGGGTCCAGGGCAATGCCAGGGATGGGGGTGTGGGTGGACAGGCGGCTGGTGGGCACAGGGACCTCCCTGGGGACACTGGGCACTGCGGGGCAGAGAGGGGACAGTGACTGTGGGAGCAGCACCGGGGAGGCAGCGGTCCCGGGAGGGATGTTTGGGATGGGGGGGTGTGGGATCCTCGGGAAGGGCTCACCATAGGGCCGGGGTGCGCGGACCCGCGCCAGGGGGCAGCCCACCAGGGCCACCTTGAGGGCCACGCGCTGGTGCCACCTCTGGGGTGTGACACGGACGTAGCGGGCAACGATGGGGGGGATGAAGGCGTTGGAGACCTCCCCGTGGCTGTCAGCATTTCCTTCAAAGACCTGGAGAGGGCAAAAGAGGTGCCAAAGCTGAATATCCACAGGCAGGGGGTCTCAGCCCCTCTGCTGCTCCCTCCATGCCCACCTTGTCCTCCTGGCTGGCACTGCCCCTGTAGGGTTTCCAGTTCTTCCCGTCGCGGCTGGAGGAGACCCGGTAGGACATCACGTAGTAGTCGTGGTGCTCGGAGGAGCCCTTTGTGATGATGCCTGTGGGTGCAGGAGGGGGGTCCCCGCTGTCAGTCACGGGGTGTGGGACTGGGGAAGAGCCTGGGGCAGGGCTGGAATAACCCCCATCTCTTGGACATCCACACTCCAGCCGGGAAAGGAGGAGGGCAGGACATCACCCAGTGGAGGAGGGTCCCTCTGACGCCGGGAAGGGGTTTGGGTGGCAGATTCCAGTGCGGGACCCCCCCCCGGCCGTTCTGCTCCCAGCAGCCGATAACCTCCGGCCCCGGCTGCCAGCCCCACATTCCTCCCTCCTCCAGCCTCCAGGCGGACAATGTGCCCATTTTCCTGGCCGGCCGCCGGCGCACAAAGCCCCCGCTCTGGGCAGGCTCCGAAGCACAAAAGGCGCTCGCTGGCACCAGATGCAAGAGCATAATATTAACTTGTTCGTCCCAGAAACTGCTGCGGATGAAGGGGAGGGGGAAGAAGGGACAAAAAGGGGGACAGGGCACAGCGGGGGGGGGGGGAGTTGATTTGCTTTGTATCCCAGTAAAACCATGACACAAGGAGCTCCAGTGCGTCCTGGGAGTTGTGGGGGTGTGGTTTTGTGGGGATCAACGGGGCTGGCACCGTGTCACCACAGTGGTCAGGGTGGAGCGGGGACATGGGCAGCTGTTGTCCCCCTCACCTGTGACATTCCTGCGGGTGCCCAGGTCCAGCTCCAGCCAGGCGGTCTCGGCGCTGGTTTCGGCTGCCCAGGAGTGGCCGGCGGTGCCAAGTGCTGCCCGTTCGGCCACCCAGGCCCTGACCTGGCCCAGCACATCCACCTCGTGCCACCAGGATGAGGCGTTGAAGGCGGCCACCTCCAGCGCATCGTCACAGGCTGGGGACAGGAGGCGGCAGGCTGGGAACTCAGGACCCCCAACCAGGCGTGGCACGGGGGTGGCACTGGGATTGGCAGCCCAAACAGTGCCTTAATTTCAGGGGGAGTGGGACAAAAAATACCTTTGTGGAATATGAGTCGCTTCTCGGAGAGGGATCCCCTGTGGGGAGGGAAGCAGGGGCAGCATCAGGCTGGTGAACAAGCCCGGGGGGGGTTTGCAATCGGGGGCTGGCTGTTCCATGTGACAGCACAGGTGGGTCCCACAGCCGGGCGTGGGGTGCAGCCCCTGTTCACCCACCTTTTGGAGTGGAGCCCGTTGGCAAAGGCTGACTCATAGAGCGTGATCCCCTTCTCCCGGGACAGCGTGACCTGCCCGCCCAGCTCGTCCGCGATCACCCCGGCGTGCACGGCAGCCTTGCACAGCACCGAGGTCTGCAGGGAGCAGGGGGTCAGAGCAGCCCCCACAGGGCACCCCGAGGCCCAACCCACCCCCTGGGGGTTGCTGGGGGTGCCAGGCAGTGGCCACATGTGCTGGGGACTGTCCCACACTTACATCCCGGTAGCCCTGGCTGGGGTTGCCCCAGATGTCCCCATGGATGTCCTTGCAGCCCGCAGGGCAGTACACGCTGAAACGCACAGCAAGGGGGGCTCAGGGCTTGCTCTGCCCCTCTTCACACCCTCTCTGTTCCCCAAGAGCCCCGGGAGAGGGATGGGGTGAAACCAGGGCTGATGGGAACTGCCGGGGTGGGGGACACCAAAGCAGGACCACTCACCCCCCCGACCACTCACCTGATGTGCTCCTGGGTGTAGTGGGTGCCTCGAACCAGGCAGGAGACCAGGTCTGCAAGGCAGGGACACCCCAGGGTGAGGGACCCACACCCACCCCACAACACCCACCCACCTCTGCCCAAGGGCACCCCATTCCCATGCCCTTCCCAACCAAATCCTGCTCCACGTTTGGGTTTTCCACCCCATATCCCCATGTTTGGAGGGGTAGGGAGAGGTGGCCCTTTGGTCCCTGCAGCAGTGCCACCATCTAGAGTGGCTCTGTTTGATATTGGCCACCTGACCTGGGGGTGTCCCATGTTGTGCCCCCAGTCGGGGAGAACATGGATATTCAGGGCAATGGGAGCCCACCCAGGGGTCAGCAAGGAGCTCCCTCCACCTCAGGCCGTGCCCCCCTCCACGGGCCAAGACACATCCTGGGGGGGTCTCTGCACCCCCAGGGGATGCCCCCCCTCACCTGGGTGCTGAGAGGTGGCATAGGACAGGAGGAGGCCTCGCCCCGAGCGGTGGCTGGTGCTGTTGAACAGGACGGTCACAGAGCTGGAGTTTGTCACCAGGAGCGGGGCAGAGGGGACGGAGTTCCTGCAGTAGGGCCCTGCCGCAGGGACGGGGCCGTGGAGAGGGTTGGGGCTCCCTGGGGACAGGTGAGGGCACACAGACCCCAGGGTTTCACCTCCCCCGGCTCAGCCCTCGCCAGGGCTGGGGGAGCTCAGGTATTTAGGTCCCAGGGTTGTCCCACACCCAGGGTGGCCCATCCCCAGGGTAATCCCAGCCCCAGGGTGCTGAAGGGTCCCCATCTTGAGGGTGGCCCCATGCCCAGGGTTGTCCCAGCCCCACGGTGGTCCCACACCCAGGGTGGTCCCATGCCATGGTGACCTCACGCCCGGGTGTCCTCTTGCCCAGGGGGGTCCCACGTCCCAAGGTGGTCCCATGCCAGGGTGTCCCCTTGCCCAGGGTGGTCCCACGTCCCAAGGTGGTCCCATACCAGTGTGACCTTGTGCCAGGGCAGTCCCAGCCCCAGGGTGGCCCCACACCCAGAGTGGCCCCATCCCCAGAGCAGTTACATCCATGCCATGGGAGGACCTGGGTTGCAGCCGCCCGATTGCCCCCTCCCCACCACACTGTCCCCCCACAGCCACAAGCAGCACGGGGAGGGGGGGACACAGCCCCCAGATGAGGGCATGGGAGCTGGATCAGGTTCCTGGGGGGTACCCCAAGATGTCTCCTGGGATGGCATGAGCGGCCACCAGCCCTTATGGGGACCTGCCACCACATCCCCCACTGCCAGGGCTGGCACATGTGGCATCACCCCACGGGACCCCGAAATGGGGGCTGTGTCCCCCTCCCCATCTCCCCTCTCACAGGCGCTGCCGGAGCTGCCTCCTAAATCCCGCCCCCGTTTAATCCCCATTAATTTGCAATCTCCATCTCCCTGATTAAAACTTCGGCTTAGCAGGCAGGAGGGTTCCTTAGGGACATCCCTGGACCCAGCTGGGGACCAGAGGTGGCCCCAATCCCCAGACTGCCATCATCCCCATCGCTCTGCTCTGTGTCACGTCCATCACTGGGGTCTCGGGGTGCCCAGAGATGCTTTGAGCAAACACCATTCTTGTCTGGGGGACACGGAGCTGTGTCCCTGTGTCCCCATGGGGCTGCTGGTGACACCTCCCATGGTGACACCACGATGTGGGGTCGTGCCGTGCCTCAGTTTCCCCCCTCCTGACTTGCACCCTCCCCCTGCCTGGGGTGAACTGAGAGCCCAGGGGACGTGGGACATGTGTGTGCAGGGATGTCACAGGGTCACAGACATGACAGGACAGGGGGCTCTGCACGATATGCAGATGAGATGCAGATGAGACACGAGCAGATTTCCCACCCACTGCCCCGGGTCGCTGCTGCCACGTCTGCATGGCTCCTGGGGACACCCCGGGACCCCTTGGCTGAGCCCCAGGGCTGGAGGCTGCCACCCCCACAGGGACCCAGCCACGTCTCCAGGCAGGATCAGGCCAGGGGCCAGACACTGGGGCTGAGTCAGCGGGAAGGAGTCCACGGCCCCCGCCTGCTCCGGCCGCTTCCCGAAAAACATCTGGGACTCCTCAAGGGCCGGCGCCGGCTGCGGGAGAGGGACCCCAGCCCTGTGTCATGCACTGGCACGGCCCTGGTGAGGGCTCCCAAAGGGGCTGTGGGTGCCCAGCCACCTCCCCCAGCCCCCCAACACCTCCCCCAGCCTCCTGGGAGCATCATCAGGGGGTCCCCCCTTTCCCACAGCCTGGGCCAGGAGGTCTCTTGGCTTTGGGGACAAACATGTCCCATGGGGGCAGGGACCTCACGTGCTGTCACCCCTCTGGATACCACCCCAGAAAAGGGTGAAAGCCCTGGAGGACAGGGAGAATTCCCAGTCCCGGGAGCAGATGTGGGTCCACGCTGGCTCCCTTCCATCCTGTATTTCCTGTCGTGTCCCCTGCCCCTCACCAGGGCTGCTCCTCCATCCCATCCCACCCATGATGCTCCCCCCCACCCCCTCAAGACATTTTCCCTGGCACCCATCATGCTCCTGGTGCTGCCAAATCCCTCCAAGACCATTAAATCTCTCGGGGAAAATCCTGGAAGCGCTTGGGCAGTGGCTGGGCCGATGGAATTAATCCATCAGCAGCTGCATCTGGTCCCAACTGCTCTCTCCCCTTCCAGCTTGGCAATACCCCCCTCCTCAGGTACCCCCTTCCTCAAATACCCCCATCCTCAAATATCCTCCTCCTTCACTAATCCTCTCCTTGGGTACCCCCCTCCTCAGATATCCCTATTCTCAAATATCTCCCTCCTCGGATGCCCCCTGTATTTGGGTACCCCCATACCTGGATATTCCTCTTCCTTGGATAATGCACTCCTCAGATAACCCCCTGTACTTGGGTACCCTCATCCACAGGTATTTCCCTCTTTGGATAACTCCCTCCTCAGACATTCTCCTTCCTTGGATACCCTCATCCTCAGATACCCCCTTCCTCAGATACACCCCTCCTCAAATACCCCCTTCCATGGACACCTCCTCCTCCCCTTCCCGTGACAAAATCAGATAAACCCCCACATTTCCCCAACACTGTCCCCGTGCAGGTCACTGATGTCACAGCCCCTGGGTGGGCTCTGCCTCAGTTTCCCCTCCCCATGGGACCTCCCCCTTACCGTAGGCAGTGCCAGCCTGGGGGTCCGAGAGCAGCAGGGAGCTGTGGGCACAGTGCTCCGAGGGTTCCAGATCCACGTCCCCGAACGCCAGGAGCAGGGAGGTGCCCAGGGGCGCCTGGAGCCGCCAGCGGCACATGGTGTGGTTGGGGTACGTGCCCGGGTAGTTCTTGGAGCTCAGGGTGCCACTGTGGGGTGCCAGCAGTGTGTGGCCACAGCCATTCCCTGTGGAGACACCAGGAAGGGCTCAGCTCCCTGCTGCAGTTTCCCCCCTGTTGGTGTGACCCCCCTCAGCACCTTCAAATGGGTTTTCCTAGTCCAAAACATCTTTTTTTTTTTTTTTTGGTGGATTTTCTGGTCATTCCCCTGCACTGGGAGGGGGGGGTACTGGTTCACCAGCAGTGCTTAATTTTCAGGGAAGCCTTCAGCAGTAGATCTCCATTTGAAAATTAAAAAAAAAAAAGGCAAGCAGCACTGCCTTTTAACCAGTTCATTAAGTAACATAACTCCAGACATCTTAGGGGGGAAAGGGAGGGGTTCCTAGATTCATCCCTGGGGACATCCAAGGATGAAGCTGCATCAGTTTCTCCCCACAGCCACCCAGCACTTCCAGCTCCTCTCTGTCCCCCAGGCCAGGAGAACCCCAATTTGGGGGGACACAAAGGGATTCAAGGAGGAAATACCCCCATCCATGGGGCTGTACAGCACTGAGCAGCCCCCCAGGACCCGCCTTGACCTTGAGCATGACCTTGGGCAGCTGCATCCCCACTGCCTCCTTCCCAGGGCGATGCCAGACCCGCCACAAAAGGGGCTTTTCTCTGAGCTCACCGCCCCCAGGCACGAGGGAACATCCTGGAAACGAGCTGAAAGCGCCCGGTGTTGGGATCCAGACGGGACTTGTGGGCAGGGTTGGGATGCAGGGAGAGAGGGGAAGCATCGCTCAGCCGCTCTGTGTGGGCTGGGGGCACGTGGGGGTCCAGTGCCCACCCTCTCTCCGCCTCCCCAAAAAGCTGCTGCTCCTGCCAAGCATCCTCCTGGCACAGCCAGAAAGAAAAGGGATGGTGGGCAGGGGTTTGCCCAGCCTTGGCTCCCCTCGCCGTCGCCGGGAGACGGCACAAAGTGCCGGCAAGGGAAAATCCTGCAGGGATGAAAAGGGGGGGCGCCGGAGGTGGAAGATGCCAGCCTTCCCCCCGGAGCCCCCTCCCTCCTCCCCAGCCTGCGGGAAGGGCTGGAGGCCAAACTGGGGGGGTTTATCCTGTGGGACCGGGAGAAATCCCCAGTTTTCCCTCTGGATGCTGATGGAGCAGAGCTGGGAAGGATCAAACCTTCCAGGACTGAGGGTGGTGGAGGGGCAGTGGGGACCCCAGGGCTGCCGGGACAGTGGCTCCCAGAAGGGCTGCTGTGCTGGGGGAGAGAAATTCGGGGTATTTCAGGGGAGTTTCCAGCAGGGAAAGGCAAAGCCGTTGGGATCTGCATGAAAAACCCTCCCTGCCCAGGACGGCCAGACCCCAGTGAGCCCAGTCGGGGGTCTTGGATGGACCCCGTCCAAGCTCCATTTCCACGCTGGTGGGTGCGGAGGAGCTGGGGGGATCCATTCCAGGAAAAAAAAAACCCACCCCGGGAAAGGAAATCCTTGTTAAAAACATCCCGAGTGTGGCCAGCGCGTGCCGGGAGGGAATGCCAGAGATAAGCCACGCCAGAGATAAGCCGAGAGCTGAGGGCACTCCTGGGAATTCGGCTCCGGTAGATGCTCCGGAGGGGCCAGGAATAGCCAAGACAGAGCCACGGCGGAGTTGCCCTCCCCTCCCCCCCAAAAAAAACCCCTGAATTGCCAAAAAATGTGGAAACTGGGTTTCCGGTGGGTGAGGGTGAAGTCACGGCCGGGCCCCCGCTGGGCTCAATCCTGCCAGGGATTTGTTTGTTTTCTCACAGGATGCAGGAAAGACACAACAGGGCGATGCTCCGGGAAAAGCCCGGCACGCTCCCGCCTCCGTCACGCCGCCGGCCCCGGGAAAGCTCCCCCGCGTCCACCAGCGGGTTTCGGATCCGCTGGAAACCCTGTGCAGGATGTGTCCCAAAACTGGATGTGTCCCAGCTTTGGGGGACGCAGCGGGATTGTGCCCCTGGTCATCCCGCCCTGGCCCCGTGCCTCAGTTTCCCTTCGCTGGGAACGATGCCTTGGATGCCCCGTCCTTGTCTCTCCTCGCTCCGGGATGAGCTGAAGACAAGCGGCACCGGGAAACATCAACTTCGGGATGAGATCTGGGTGAACATTCCCTCGGGGTCGTCCTGGACCCCGCGGGTGCAAATCCCACTGCTCCGCGGCATTCCCGGGATGGAGCCGCTGCCCGGCTCTCCCGACTGCGATCCTCTTAACCCGGGGATTAGGGGATCCTGGAGAAAGCCCTGGGGGCGGGACGGAGCCGGGACCCCCGGGACCACTGGGACAGAAGGCACCGGGAGTGGGGACAGAGGGAGCGGGGGGAGCAGGACCGGGGTGATGAGGGGGGGTAGAGGCAGCGGGGAGCTCGTACCGGAGAAGGGGGATGGAGCGGACCCTGTCCGGTCCGGTACCGGGACAGAGGGACGGCAGGGACGCGGATCGGGACCGTGAAAGAGAGATGGATGTGCTCCATCCCGTGCGGTACCGGGACAGAGGGACGGCAGGGACGCGGAACGGGACCGTGACAGAGAGATGGATGTGCTCCATCCCGTCCGGTACCGGGACAGAGGGATGGAGGGGGCTCCGTCCCCGATCGCTGCTGGAGCAGAGGGATGGCAGGAATCTCGTCCCGGATCGAGACCGGGGCAAGCACACCGTGAGGACCCTGTCCCGGTGCGCTCCGCTCGGGACACAGCAGGGACCCGTTCCCGGGAGCCCATCCCGGTCCGATCCCGGTCGGGACACAGCGAGGAGCCCGTCCCGGAACTCACCAGGACAGAGAGCAGCCACGTCCCGTTCCCCATCCCACACCCAGCCTTGCTCCCCAATCCGGCGAGCGAAAGGGAAGCCCCGAGAGTTGCCGGTGGGACCGGGGACTCCCGGCGCCGGTGCCCCCCCAACCCGCACTCACCGTCCTGTGCGGCGGCCGGGCGCAGCCCCAGCGGGCCGAGCAGGAGGCAGCAGCGGCGGAGCAGCAGCGCCAGCGCCAGCGCCCGCGAGGCCGCCCCGCCGCCCGCCCGCATCCTCCTCCCGCCGCCGCCGCT